ATGATGGGTTATTATCTCAATATGATAATAACCCAAATACATAATAAAATGAAAAAACTTGTTAAAAAATCAGTAGATCTCGAAATCAGTCATTGGTGGCTGCTAAACGCACTGATGCATTTATTCCGCGATTGTTTGTGATTAGTATACAATCGGTACAACCTCCGATTCAGTCTCGTCGCGAGATTCCAGTTGAAATTGCTCGGTACGAGTGCTGGAGGAGAGCTGTCGCAATGCCAGGCGAACGTGTCCGAGGTGTGTGCGGAGATATCGAGCGGTATCGTTTCCATGTAATAGGCAATACGTTTATTGAGGCTCGGGCTCGAAATGCACTTGTATTCCCATGATAATGCGGATTATCGAGCCGGCCCGTTCGCGGTTAGTACAAATGGTAAAGTTCGTGGAACACACCGCCGTGTCGTGGAACTCGCGGGCATCGTTGCACTTTTGCGATCGATCGATCGATCGATCGATCGGCCGTTTCGTCACGCCGATCAATCTCGGTGATCGATTCGGTATTGTTACACGTGTCGTCGCCTTTTGTCACGCCGACAATCCTCGATCTGTCAGATCTCTCGCATTCCGAACTAGCTCGCGATAGCATCGACAGTCTCATCGATTCATACAAAGTCTTCAATAAAATACATAATGTTAACTTTCGCGATGTGTCTGATTTCATAAATAAAAAATTAATAAGAATAAAAATTATAAATGTGTCATCAAAAAAAAAAAAAAAAAAAAAAAAAACTTAATTATTATAATTAGAAATGTTTTCTCTGCTAACACTTTCGTTCTTATAGTCCTCCGTTATCGTGCGCAGTAATTATTAGTTATCATTTCGCCCGTTGTTATCCTTACGCGAGACTTTCTCGGGACGAGAGGTATAATCGTGCTCTCCGTGCGGATGAGACGAGAATCGACGCGACATTCGGGCGACGACGGGATGGCACGCCGATGGAATAGAAATGGCGAAATAAAAGGAACCGCGAGAGCGAGATCAAGGTCAGCGGCGAACGGAGCCAATTAGCTAGCCGTAGACTCGATTAGCCAGCCGGCGGAAGCGCTCCGAACCTATACGAGTATAACGGACCGAAGGATATACAGGCACCGTAAGTACTATACTTAGGCGGATAACCGAGTGCCCGGGTCCATTAACGTCTCTACAGCCGGTCGCTGATACTCTTTCCGAGATGCTTTTCCGCCTTTTCCTCTCCCGCTCGCGATCTGAGATGAGCGGAGAAATAGATAGAAACAGAAAGGAAGAGAGAAACGGAGAACCTTGCTGCGAAATTCACCCTAGATCGTAACGGTATACTTGCTTCTATTGAATATTTGCCGCTCGTTTCTGGTATACTTTTTTCCTTATAAACTTCTGATAAATAAAAATTTATATTAGTGTCGACTTCATGTTTCCAAAATTGGGAAATTTATTTCCATTGTATATTCTCGTTAGATAGATGGCAAACTTGAAAAGACAAGAAATCAAGGAACGAATAGGAAGGCTAGCAGCAATATATATATATATATATTTTTTTTTTTGGAGAGAATAAAAATCATACGAGTATATTGTTACAAAAAATAATCTGTAATTAATCGAGATTCTTAGGCGAGCGCGTAAAATGTTATCAGTTCCATCGAATATAATTCACGGCATGCGCTCGATTTACAGCTTTAGCGTTTACCCTTACTACTTACTTGTCGCGACTGGTTTTCTAGCGTACCTAAGTAAAAGCATCGATAAATACGTAAGGCGGCTTTCGGCGGATATATCGGAGCTATTTCTCTTTCTTTCTATTTCGATGATAGCGATAGCGTATACAGGACGAGTGAATCGTAATCCTATTCTCGTTCGCGAAGATCCCGCAGGAAGTCCGTGCTCTTGTGCCTCGAGGATCACGGCTTTGTCCAGCGAATAATACCGGAGCAAACGGGAGGTGTTCGTTGGAATTAAAACGTGAGCCTGCGGATGTTCGATGATCCCGGGCGAAGAGAGAGTCGTTGTATAAAATAAACTCTCTTTTCTCCCCCTGTTCCCACTTTTTCACGACTTCCCTTCGTCGAGAAAAGCCGCGAAAGAATCTATCGGAGCGATATACAACGATATATATATATATATATACAATATAGCGCGGACGAAAGGAAACAAACAATTTAATTCTTTATTCGAAGATTAACGATGGCGCAATTCAGCTTCGTTATCATTTATCAGTTCTTTTTCTGTATATCTTTCTTACGAAGATATAGAAGCGTTCCGCGTAAACATCTTTAATTTCAGTACAACATTTATCGTGATGAATTGTTATTTATAATGCAATTAAGCAATTGAAAGAAGTTTAAGTCAAGAATATAACAAATTTCACCTGTCTCGCATACAAAGAACAAAGAAACTTCATGTGATAAGAAAAACAGTCAAAATAGCTTCTGACTCCGTTTGTCTTAATCTAACGACATACAGCGTGGCGCGCAAAAAGGAACGCATTCGCGAGCAGTGATCGTTAACTATCCTTAGCACCGAATCTTCGCCATTCCCATTAGCAGCAAACATACTATCTCTCTCTTTCCCTCGCAGCTGGAGAAACGGGCTAATCTCTCGAGGGGTTAAGCGATCGCTTATAGCGATTTTCCTAACCCTCCTTGCAAGATCCCTCGTCGGTCGATCCGACACCCTTTCCATCTCTTGCCCTCCCTTTTTCCCCGCCTCGTCTGTTACCCTTAGCTGACGTGCGAGCCTGTGAGAGAGCGACGATCTATCATCCGAAATCAAGAGACTAAGTATAGCGTCTCGCGCCAAATATAAAACATAGTAATACAATTCTGTAACAGCGTATCCTTTACCAGAATAGCAAGCTTTTTCTATTATAGTAATATAATTTTTGTACAATTTTTAAATGCATATTTAAACTCATTTTTTCTACTATAAATGCATATTTCTTTTTTTCTTGATGGTTTAAAGATTTTTTTATTAGTCTGTTTTTTTTTAAAGATCCATTAGAAAGATTAGTCTGTTTTCTCATAAAGATCTCTTGAACTATTTTTGTTATTTTGTCTAAAGAGGAAAATATATGCTTGAAGAAAATAAGTGCGTTCTTTTTTAGATTAAATTTATGCGCTTTCGAAACAAACTGTCTCGCGATGTACACCATATTGCCGGCTGCTTTATATTCGCCGATCCTTCGCGAGCAATGAGAGCGAACTATTAGCCCTTGTCGTAGCGCGTCACGTGCGTGCGTCATTACGCTTTCTTCGTCGCGAGGGAGCGTCGCGACGCCTTCTTCACAAATGCGTTGAAAATCAACCGATCCCCCTATTCGGATGATGCATAGAACGTCGCGACGCTCGTCGAAATATTGCGACACGCGTCTTTCCGCGCCGGTGACGCTAATGCACGCGCGATATACAAGGTGTCTGGAATCAGGGGATATCCTTTTAATAAACGTATGCAAATTCCTAAAATTCCTATATGTGTAACATGTATCCGAAATCACTTTGTAGCTACAAAGAAGGCTCGATATTGAAATATTTGCCATTTTTCTTAGCTTGTTGTCTGATATGAATGATTAGACAGAAATGCCGCGAAATAATATTGGAACACCCCATATATCGATTTGCACGTCGGGAATCGTTGTGAAAAATGATCTGTATACGATTTCGATTTAGCAATCTTGCTTTACATACGCGCTTTGCAATACATGCTGATGCGCAATGAAAAATAGTGACGATAAACTCTCTTTCTCTTTTTCAGTTTTATAGATTAGATTGCTAACTTTTTATATTAAAGTATATAGGGAAGACTCTAGAGGAAGATATTTCGCTCGAGCAATTTCGAGATAATCTCTCCTTACGAGATGTAAATAGGTACCGTTTGAGGTGCGATAAATTTAAACGGTTAACAAAATTAGCGCATGCGGAATACAGACGGAGAACCTGCCGGTTAATTAATTCAGGAAGCCGCTTTTAATCGTCGACGCGGCCGACACGGGAAGCATTCTCGACCGAGGAAGCGCGAGCGAGGATCCTCGCGAGTGTAATTCCGCTCGTAATAAACAGGAACTCGCGTGGTTATCGACACGGCGCGATCGCACGAGACGGTGTGTCTCGGGTCTTATTCTACAGGGTCGCGATCGCACAAGCGTTCCCTGGTGCGTAATACACCGGACGATTTCTTTATTTAAATGATACGGCCGGCCAACGCCGTACATCACCGCGGCGAACTGGAAAAAACGACACGAGACATCACGCGGTTGAATATTATTAGACCGTGGAAGGGTAAACGATCGCGCCCGGCAGATCCTCGTGAGATTGTTGCATCTTAAGGTCGATTTATACCATCCGCTATTCAAACACGGCCGTCGCGTAATATAACATACATATACACACAGGTTTTTCTCTTACAAAGTTTCTTTGCTTCCTGTCGCGTCAGCTCTGATCAGAAATTAGAATTTTTCTCTTAGCATAAATTTAATAATATGCACACTGGAAACAAATTTTGTTGCATTAACAAAAATTCTGCATTCCGAAAATGGACGAAACAGAGTTAGTGATTGAATCTACCAAAATTCCTTTTAATGCGACAAATTTTTTTTAATATACAAAAAATTTTTTTTCCAGTGCATCTTCTTGAAATTCTCGAATCAATAATTTTTTATGGCTTGGAATTCGAACTTTTTCGAAAATTAGTTGTATATCTTCATGGATGAAAGTATTTTAAAAATTAAGGTTGATATTTTCTTCGACCAAAAACCGGCATGTAATTTGAATATTCCTTCATTAATTGAGCTCTTTCGATGTTTCTATCATTACTTGACAAGCAAATGACTTATTATTAAAAACGCTTTTCAAATTACATGCCGGTTTTTGGTCGAAGAAAGTATCGACCTTAATTTTGAATGCTCTACTGACGATTAAATATTATTTACCGGTATTTTAAAAAGTCTGTTGGAATGTCGCGAATATAGCTCGAAAATTGGCGCACAGCTTGGCTAAAAACGCGGGTGACTCACCGGTGAACGACTCCTTTCGAGTGCATGTGCTTGAGAGCGGCGACCAGCTGTCTGGCATAGAGCCTCGCCGTGTTCTCGTCCAGTTTACCGGCCGGCTGCTCCTTAATGTGCGTGCACAGGTCGCCGCCGGTCGCGAGTTCCGTCACGAGATAGTACACGGATCCGCACTGTAAGCAGGCGTTAAATTAAATCGTTATCGATCCGTATCAATAGCGCCAAGTATCATAAAGATTTAGATACAACACAGGATATCCCGCGATTCTTGAATTCGTAGATTCATAAATTCTCGGGTACTTCGTTTCACGTCGTATTTTACAGAAATTGAATTTCATTAAAATTATATCGAGCATATCAGGACTTATAAAACAGTAATTTGCAAATTCGCAAAATACATAAATTAGATTATTTTGTATATAATCACGCGATGAGAGAGAGAGAGAGAGAGAGAGAGAGAGAGAGAGATTCTCCATATACAATCGTTTCTTTATGCAGGATGTAATTGAAATTTTTTTGTAATTATACTTGAGCAACAAATTACAAAAGGAAAAGAGATTACAGAGTATGATTCACGATGACACGTTTCAAGTTTATTAAATGACGCTAACATATCGTGTTTCTCATCTTGTTGGTTCGTGCGACTTGCCGAAGTACGGTCATACATTTTAGTTGCCGCTCGTGAAAATGGAGCAACAAGGAACGAGCCGGTGGTGAGAGTCAGAACCGGTCGCGCAAAATTGATCGCGCGTATTTAAAATGCACTGAAGCGGAGGCGCATCGTGATTATCGAGAAAGCGTTTCCCAAATTTCGCGCGCGCTCGCGAGACACCGGGAGAGCGTGGGCCTCGTCGATTAAGCGATTACCTTAATGCAACGATATGCATGCAGCGACGTCGACGGGGCCGCACGTGACCGACGAATTACGGTCGGAGCGGATTCGCCGCACCCGGTCAAATGGCGAGTCGGTTCTCCGGGCGTTGATGATTATTTCATTTCTCGGGGTTGGACACATCGGCGAGGCACCCGACTGCTTTAATCATAAATCGCATGGATCACGAGAGCCGAATAAATATCGCGCGCACGTACCAGCAATTGAATGTTAATCACATCAAGTCAGACGGACGAGATTTCTTTTCGCTGGATGTCGCATTACTCCAAGGATTTATAAGATTTACTTCCGTCATACTTTTTTTTACTGGAAAGAAATATTAAAAAAAAGAAACGAAAAATTATTGAATTTTTATTAAAATCCAATGAGGAATATTATTGTATACACACTTTATACAGAATCTGATGAAATTTGATAGAAATAAAATATTTTTGAGATATAAAATTGTATCGCAGGGCCTTCACTAGCTAGATAGAAAACTCGTTTGATTCCCAGGGAAAGAACAATTGGTTGGGAAACAGGTATTTGAAAAATATCGTTTCGCCTGATTTAAGCTTTACGCGACACACTCTATTCGGCGCGATCGGGAGAGAGAACTTAACCAATAGAAACTAAACGAGAACTTCTCTGAAAATACGGAGACCACTTGTGAAGTCAATTCGCGAAAGATGTTGCTCTATCTCGCTTGGCAAGAATCGCCGTTTCGTTTTGGCGAGGATCCGTTTGATACGCTCGGCGCTTGCCAACCAAATCAAGTCGAAGTCGAGATCTCCGGGTGGAACGTGAGATTCGCGATTTCGATATATATCACCGAGTATGGGTAAAATAGGAACGTAAATTCGACATATGTAAACGATAGCGATAGGAAAGGAGCACCAAACGTGGAATTCATTTTTCCGAACAAAATAAGAAACGTATGTCGCTCGCTCGGTTCGTGCCAAAAAGGTGTGCAGTTATATAAGATCCTATTCGCGAGCGGAATTTAAAGCAACACTTTTTCTTAGTTTAAATTTAACTCTACTCTTATTTTCAGATTCTGGAATCGCGGGATCTCTAGATCAATTAATTCCTTTATCTCATCGTGTCTCATCCGTTAAAAAACTATTTGTAGACCAACAGCAAAAATTGTAATTGCAAATTTTTCGGGTGATAGTTTATTAACACGTCGTTTTTATTATGCGTCTGCTATCAACTTCTTTTATGAAGAAATAAATACGTTCTCGCACGAAACATTTCTGGCAAATCTCTGCAGCATTATTATTTAAGAGGGCGTCATACTTTTCCAACGAGGCAACTCGAACTCGTTGTAATAGCACGCTGCAGATGTGGTGTTGTCGACACGTTCATTTTTATAGCGATTTCGTCCCCTAAATGAAGGGAACGACGACGTCGTTGGACGCCAGTAACAGGCGAGTCCTATGCGATTCATCGGCTCGTAACATTGGTACTGACATAAAATCGCGCGAGCGGTGGTGCGTTTACAGCCTCCGTAGGCCGACAATAATGACCTTAATTGGCGCTTAAAACGGCTTTCCTCCAATATCCCGAGCATGAGTAACGCGCTGACGACCTAGCATGCATCTTCGTAAAAATCGACAGGCACGCGTGCGTCTTTTCTTATTGTATACAGGGTGATTCAGAAAGACACATTCGATATTGTGTAATTTACGGATATACCATATATCTGCTAACAAATAATTAAATTCAAAATATTGTCTCATTTTTATGGTTATACCTGCAATTTTAATAAATAATCAAGACGCAAAATTTTTATGAGTAGAACAATCGGTTTAGAATAATTTTTTTTTTACATTTAGATACACGTGTAATTTTAATATTTAATAGAAAATTGAATATGTTAGTAGTGTTGAGATATTAATATTAATATTTTTTTCTACAAACGTTGCATCTTTATATCAACTTTTCTCATAAAAACGGACGATAATTTTGAATCTCTCTGTATACGATGGGCAATAAAATGAACAATCTAGCGACTAGGAAACATCGGAAACATCGATAACCCGTAAATGTCACGGCTTTGCCTAAAATGTTGGGTATTGGAAAGCGCGCTTGTGCAATAACGTAGCTTTACGACATAAAAAATGATCACGGACCCATTGTCCTCGCGAAGAATGAAATTTTGTTGTTCTGGTACGTTATGTCCTGCCATGAATTTACAGTAAACTGAAATTTTTATCACTGCGCGTTTCATGTATCATATATATATTGGAAAGTTACGTTATTTTACGTATTTTACGTTTCATCGTATTTCTGTAATTTCCTCTCACTCTCTCGCTCTCTTTAATGATCTTTCCGCTGATATATAATACATATAATGAAACTACTAATTGTAACAGAATTATTCGCATATATGCAAATCGTATTAACGAATTTTTATATTAAATCAAAAGGGCGGCATGAGAGAGCTCTACGTTCAACTAGAATTAATTATTCATAAATATGGAAATGCGGAAACTTGCGGTGGACGCGTTCGCGCGTTTGACTGTCAGCGCCATCAAAATCCGGACTCTATCAATAATTAATACAAGAGAGAGCGGCGATTTGCATACTCGATTAGTCGATGTGCAGCATCGTCGATAGCACGTTATCCTCATCGATTGCCATTGTCGCGCAGTCACGTCACTAGCAGACGACCCTAAGAAAAGCGAATTGTTTGGAAAACGGATATATACTTTACGATCTGGATGCAAGGCGCAGATGCTTCGAAGAATCCCGGCAGAATCGGCAGTCGAAATATATAAGCCGGGTACCCTAAGCGCGGCTCCACCATCGTAAAGATTACGACGTGGAAATGAGATATAAGGTGATGTCATATATAGCCAATTTGGCGACGGCGAGGCGAAGTCTCGTCTCGATATTAGCATATTTGCCGTCAGGTGCGAGCATTCTCATCGCCAATAGCTCTTTCCCCTCGATGGAAAGCTTAAATAAAACAAGACGCACTCTTCCATCCGCGCGTTTTATAAACGTACGGAGAAAGCAATATCATCTGCAAGACTATAAAATCATTTTTATCGAGAAAAAAAAAAAGAATCGGACGCCATCTCGAAATTCGTTCCTTCGTTTATGAAAGCTCGGGGAAATCATATCTTTTTTCCAATTTGTCCGATGATTTTATAGACTGATAAATATTGGAGAAAAGCAGATTTTATAAGTCCTAATTTTTTTTCACTTTCGTAGGAAAGCTGCACCGACTCGTATACAAGAAATGATTTCGCCAACAATATTCCGAGTGAAAAAATGTTGCACACATCTCCCCAGAGTCGAATATGGGCCTTCCCCAGCTATCCGTTCATCTCGCGCTGAAATATTTCGCAGGGCTCCGAAATTCTCGAATCGCGCGCAGCCGGGTTATCTCGCCGGTCGCGTGCGTTTTCCCGTCATATTTTCCTACGTACTTTATCTTTCCTGGCGCGTACACTACACCCTCGTCCCCGTAACTCAATCGTGACGAGCGAGCGCGCGGACTAACAAAATTTTCAGAGTAAACGAGGTGCGCGATGCTGCGTCGCCGGTGGAACCTCTGATATCGACGTCCCACACATGAATTCAATTACGTCGTACAAGCATACGAGAGTCCTCTCTCCCTGGCTTTTTTCCTCTCGCTCGCATACACCGTTTTATCGTGTGTATATGCGTGTACCCGAATCTGCGTGTTGGATTTTCGCGTGTGCAACAGCCGGGTCACGTACGATAGTGCGCGCATTTAATGATGCCGGTCTGGATTTTCTTTGTATCGACGCGGAAAGAATCGCGGCGTAAAAAAATATTTTCCGAATTTACCCTCGCGGATTGAAATCGATATAATATCGGCGAAATCAATTTCCGAATGCTAGTCGCGGAGATGAAAAAAACGTGTTCCCCATCGTTACGAATAAATACGAAAAAAACATTATTGATGCACCTGCAGTATCGCGAAATCTAAATCCAAAAATTAAAAATATCCAGTTTCAGTATTTATTTATTTATTTATATATCAGTATGATAAAGCTAAAAGGCTCGAAAATCGTTTGAAGCTCCCTAGTTTATCGCGAAGCGAAACAGTTAAAGGGGTGAAAAGCTTCTTCTATACTTTTGATACGCATCCCAGACTGGTTCATAAATTCAGCTAAATGGCGTGTTTAATTAAATCCAGAAAGATGGATCATCTCTCGGATAGCGTTAACGGACTGACGGTCCTGACGAAATTTCAGGATACTCGCGATTTGTCACGGAGCTCTGACGGACGTCATATACCGGGTGAAAGTGAGACTTGATCGAAGAAGCGTAGAATCTACGAAAGGGATAGAGCCTGTCACTAAAAAGACGAATGCACACGAGACGGAACGGCATAGTTCCCTTTTGACGTGGAATGAATAGATCGTTATACAAAAGTATAATAGACGCGACTGAGCCTTCTTGATAGACCGTAGGGAATGGTCTTTGTTATTAAGGACTCGATTAAACTTTGGACGCGGTCAATTAGAGTAAAGAGATTTGATCAATCGTCGAAATTCTCTGAACTGATTGCGCCCTAAAGCGTTTCTCACTCACCCGGATAGTTTCGTAGAGTCTTACGATGCTTGGATGCTGTAGCATCGACAGCACCTTAGCCTCCCTCGTCAGGTTCTTCATCACGTAATCCTTCTTGCCCTGCTCGACATCTATTATCTTAATCGCCACCTGAAACAAGAAGCGGAGAGACTCGTGTAATTAATCGAATGCGTAGTTAATCCGAGCTATTGTATGGAAAAACCTATCAAGAGTCCCTTTCATTTCATTTCTTTACGTTATTTTATTATTGCCAAAAATTTTGAATGAATGATAACTTTGACAGTTAATTTTATTGATTCGTTTATTTTTATTTTTATATGTATCTTTCTTTTCAAACGTCCACTTGCATGATACTGAAAATCTTTTTAGTAAATTAAGATGTTGCTGGCAGGTGAGTAAATAGCCGGCATATGGGACGTTGAGAGAAAAATTTCACGTCAATATAGCGCACCTCCGGTTGAATAAACGCTTTTATTCGCGCGCGCGCACGCGGTGCCCCTCTTGAGAAATATTTCTTCCCGAGCAAAAAAAAAAAACGCGAGCGTGAGTTTATCCCCGGGGCTTTTAGGGATCAATCGCCTCGTCGAATTGCCAGCACGTCAAACACCTCCCATATGTCTCCTTGAGGAGTCGCTTTTGCAACGCTTGTGCGTAGGGCGAAGGTGGTGAACGAGAGCGAGTGCGAAAGAGGGAGTTTTACGGGAAGAAGGAGAGAGATGCCTTTGGGACTCGAATATGTTAAGACAGCCACGCGGGCTCCTTCACGGTCCCTCTGTCCCTTTGATGTGCCGTAAAAGGCCGGAGGCGGTAATTCGCGCGAACCTAAGCGATTGAAATGGTGGACTCCGGTCGTGCCTTTCGGCACCACGTGTGCGAGGGAGAAAACTGTAACGTTGAATTATATCAACAGTACGAAGGGTCTCATGCGTATGCGCGCCGAATGCAAATTAAGTCGCGAAAACTTGTACATGTCACCGCGCGAAGGTTTTATGTCAGTCGTTCCTTGTCCAAAGTTGCAGAGACGTGGGCGGCGGAAATATGAGAAACAAGGAGTGGCATCCATTTTTCAAAGATAAACATTTCGAATGAAAAATAAAGAGAGACTTCTTTATGGCGAAAATTCATTCTCGGAATATATTAAATTGAAAGAATCGAAGAGTCAAAGATTCGAAAATGTTAAAGACTTGTAAATTCCATATCCGAGGTATTTAAACATTATTCGCTCTTTACTCAATAGTTCGACTTGTATCTCGAGAAGGAAGGAATCTTCCACCGTGAGTTTGGTTTCGGGGGAGTCCAAATCTTGCGTCCTCGAGTTTCCAGTTTGCCCGGCAGCAGCGGGTCGCATATCATTAGCGGCATCGATGGCGCCGGCGTCCTTTGATCTTCCCGCTCTTTCTGTCGCGAGTAAGAAAGAGACGCAAACAAACGAGATGGAGAGAAAAAGAGAGGAAGCAAACGGAAGAGAGAAATAGAGGAAGAGGAGCGCCCTGTTCCAGGATCATTGGCGCAGCTTGAAGAAAGAGAGAGATGACGAGAATACAACGCCCGGAATGAGAGAAAGAGGAAGAGAGAAAGCAGGGGTCGCGTTGAGCTCGAGGTACGCTTGACAGCCTCCCCAAATGATTTGTAGCGCTCTTCGCCAGATACAAGATACTAATTCTTTGGGCGCTGTCAGTCGACCAGCTACCGCTCGCCACCGTCGAGTCTCTTTCTCTCTCTCTCTCTCTCTCTCACCTTCTGTCTTTCTCTTGTCTCCTCTAAATTTCTCTCTCTCTCTTCTCTCTCGCTTTATCTCTGTTTGCATTGTATTACAACTTAGTCAATTTGACGCGTCGTTCTTCGTCTTATCGCTCTATGTTATCATAGACGTTTCTTCCTCTTTAAACACTGCTAGATTGAATTTTGATAGTCACAAATAATACGCGATAATATGCGTCAAAATTATACAAAGATTATTTCTACTTTTCAAAAGAATGGGATAAGGGAGAGGAAGTTTTTATAAAAATAAATTGTGTATACAGGATCTTTTTTCCTGTTTGATTTTCTTGGCTTATTTCTATTTGCATTCTGCTACAATTTAGTCAATTCATGTTCCGCTGTTTAATGTCGTAAAATATTTGAATCGATCTTGGGAATTGTAATAATATATCGAAATGATCATATTTATGGTTTCTAGATACAGCTGAATCTTTTCGTAATTTCTACGATTCTTTCTCTCTTTTCTTTTCTTAGCTTATTTCTGTTTGCTACTGATTTAGTCAACTCTGATGCATCGGTTTTCATCTCATCGTTCTATGTTACCGCCCACCGTTGTTTTCCGTAAATTTTCTAAACTATCGCAGTATTATATGACGGATCGATCCACTAAATTGAAAGTAAACTAATATCGATAGTTCGTACACACACCGCTATGGTCCTAGAAAATGAATCATAAACTATAAAAATAAATTATGAATTTTTATATAATTACACGAATATTTTATTAACAATAATTACATAAATTAGCATTAATAATTGACACCAGATACTGTGTAAAATTTTATTAATCATTGTTTTTTTCCTATATCTTTATTCCTTCTATGAATTTTCATGTGCCATAACTGTATCTCTTTGACGCAATTTTTGTTTAAAGTACAAGCAGTATATATTTGTTACCGAATTGCGAGAATGCCACGAGAGTAACCCCTAAACATATTCATGGTGGTTTCTATCGGTTAATGGAACGTAGAAAATTTTCTTTGAAGCCAGGATAAAATGAGGTCGAGCGGGATGCGAGGCCGCGAAGAGACGCAAATAAAGTAGTTCTATTTGCATGGGCGAGAGAACCCGGGGAAAAGCGGAGTCGCGGAGCCATAATAATGTTTGCGAATGCTACATTAAGGTATCCATTTTAGAGATCGCTTACTAACGAATGTTTCTGCGTGGGTCGAGATATACGAGCGAAACGCCGCGCTGCTATACCCAGCGCCCGACCTGTCAAGGTCTCCTGCAGAGGGTACAGATGTGTACATACATCGCGCGACACCAACATTGCATTTTCGTATACACGCGCATTCATGCCTCTCCGCGATACGAAACCAGGATGCAAAGAGATTGTCGCTACAAACCACACATTATACGGCTAAGCAGCGAAGTACGTGATGCTCAGCTCCGTTCGAGATTGTAATCGTCTTGATATGCTTCTTTAATTTCAAATAAACCTAGAGACTTTTAAAAGCGATGTATACATATGCATATTCGCGAGTGTAAAAAAAATGAAAAGTGTTTCGAGACTGAAATTTTTTCGAATGTTCGAAAAATTAATTTTTTTAGAGCTTACATGCATCACATCATCGGCTTTTCGTTGATGAAAGAACTCAGTACTTGAAAGGTTTAGTCTGAAGGGAAAGTTAAGTACCCACGATTTTTACTGGTTTCCTAAGACTTTTAACGTGAATGAAGAGAAATATAATTAATTTGTAATATAAAAATGTTAAAAATACGAAAGACATAAAGATACATATTTCGCGGGCGAAGTTGATGGGATCGAAACATGACTGCCGGATGTCGTCCAGTCGTTATCATAAACGAGCTACCAATCGACTGGAGTTTGCGGCCCACTATATATCGGAACGGGAGCAGCAGCCGGGTTGCTCTTATAACTCTCGCGCAATTGGAGGGCCGTAATTCGAAGCGAATAATTGACCGAATGGCGCGGCCGGTGGCGGTGTTTCAGAGGTTTACGGCCAGTGGCACGACCTCAATTTCGCTCCGGCAATCTCTGCCCGCCTGCCGAAAAGCCATGACCGCGCGAGAGGGCTCTCCCGGCATTCTCCGCGTTATCCTGGCCCAAATCCAAATCATCGATCGCAGACCGCGAATGGTCAGACGATCAACGGACGTGCGGTCCGTCGTTAATATGGGGTCCGGGTGGATGGATCGCGCGGCAGAAATCGCTTGCAGAAAATTAACCACATTAATGCGAACACACATCTCCGCGCTGATCTCGGTGCAATCTTTACAAGGGTGCGAGTGACTTTCACGATAACGATGAATAGCGAGGGTTAATACAGACTTTGATGAGAGCGATCGCGTAAGAGATTATTTTAAAAAAAAGATTAGCTGCTACTCTATGACAATATGTCTCTACATTTTAAATGCGAAGTATTGAATATTCCGTTTGGCTGAATGCTTTCATTCTCATTCATATACATATAATTTTCATAAAATACTAGAACACAACTTGGTTTGAACGTTAGCATATCATTTCACGTTTTCCAAATTTGAACAATGAAATTTTATAGGTTTCGACGAGTTCTACAGTTCCGATCGTAGGTTACTACTAAATATATATTTAACCCAAAAAACTCGTATTTTCGAATATACGATATGCTGGCCGTATTTCAAGCATTTTGTTTATTGTAAAATAATTTTCGTACAGTCCTGGACATGTACATTAATTATCCAAAGAGATCTGTTCATAAAAATATTTAGGACATTTTTTAGACAATTATTTAATCCGAAAAAATCGTGGATAAAATTAATTATCGCTTTAATGACTTAAAATAATTAAAAAATAAAAGAACGATTTTCAAAATATGGGAAAACATCAATGAAATGATCCTCAGTTTTATAATAAAAAATTTCGTAAACGTACGTGTCAATACCTAACATAATGATATCTAAAATGGATCTTTAAATTAAAATGAAATTAATTACGCTTTAATGACTGACAATAATTAACAAATGTTAGAGCAGGCTTCAAAATTTCTATTATATATATATAATATTATTTCTTTGAATTTTTATTACGTATGTACATAAATTTAATTTCCTAATTTTTATTTTGTATATAATTTTGAGATACCGAATTTCTATGTGACTTTCTAATTGAAAAATTATAATCGAAACCATTCAATCGCAATATTAATAAACACTTAATTAATTAATTAATTAATAAGTAAAATGATTAAATATTTTGAACTAATTACAAGAGAGATACATTGCATCTTATGAAAAAATTTTGAGATATTTATCGATCACTAATTTTATCGAAATGTGTGTAGCTCCGATTTCAAGCCGATGTGTATTTTTTTTAATTCGCCCGCGAGCATACGGGTGTTAATCTAATCGGAATAAATCGAATT